GAAAAATGTCTAGCGTGGACTGGGAAGAAGTCAAGCGATTGGCAGCTGATTTTCAGAAGGCACAACTTAGTTCGACCTTGCAAAAGTGAGTGACGCTCTTTACTCCGTAATCCAGTTAACCTAATCTTATTTTCTTGATAAAGCGACTATGAATAACATGGTACTTGAAATTTGCGAATAAATTTTACTTGAATCACAAACATTACATTTTTGTTATCTGACTGGTATACTAAATATTTTGTATATATTTTTTCATTTTTCCATTACAGTAGTTTGTAAGAGCCCCTTTCGACAAGTTTAAACATATGGTATTGATAGTATAACATGTTGATGCAAATTGATTTCTATTAGATTATTATGAGATTTAGTTTCAAGATCAATTTCGTTACATTTTATCTATTAAAAATACAGTTGTTTTTATCATTTTTATAATTATTAATGGTTTTAGAAGAGAGAGAGAGAGAGAGAGAAAATTAATTTTTTTTTATATCATGTTTCATATTACTTCTTTTTTTCTCTCAGTAGACATTAAAATTAAAAGGCATTAGGAAAGAAATGAAATTAATTTTAGTATAATGTCAATGAGACATTATTTTCCATCTTCTACACTGATCTGATATAATTAAATGTATATTGTAGACTCTCTGAACGAAATTGTATAGAGATTATAACAACATTGGTAGAAAACAAGCTTCTGGACATAATATTTACCAATGATGGCAAAGAATATGTTACACCTCAGCATCTTGGGAAGGAGATCAAAGACGAGCTGTATATTCATGGTGGAAAAATTAGTTTAGTCGACTTGGCGCAAATTCTTAATGTCAATCTGTCGCAAATAACTAAAGCAGTAACAGAGATTGAAAAGCACAATAAAGGGCTGAAAGTGATATTGGGACAGCTTATAGATAAGAGTTACATTAGTAAAATTGCGGAAGAGATAAACGATAAACTTGTACAACACGGCTGTATTAACGTGGCAGAGTTAACGCTCATTTATAATCTACCATCTGATTTTTTACTATCAGTCGTCGAAAAGGAACTCGGAAAGATAATACATGCTATACAAGACTCCCAAGATCCCAAAATTTTTTATACCGAAAGCTTTATTGCTAGAAATAAGGCAAAAATTAAAGGCGCCTTGTCAGCCATCACAAAGCCTACGCCATTATCTGCAATACTCGGACAATGTGGTGTACCAGAAAGAATATTTTTCTGTAAGTACAAAAATAGTGACGTAAAAGAGCAATCAGTTTTTAATGTCTGTACATACTTAAGTTACTACTAAATATTTTCTTTCTATATTATATTAAATTCCATTCAACAATATCAGACTATTATATTTCACAAAGAATTTTTTTAATATAGCCTGATAATAGCTATTATATTTGTCAAACAAAATAGTTTAATTTACCTTTTTATCTACAGACCTCTATTATTTAGTGCCACATTTATTTCTTTACACACACACACACGCACGCACGCACGCGCGCGAGCGCGCACACACACACACACACATACACGCGTGTATTATATGTATTGCAGCAATTCTGGACAGTTTGCAAGAAGTAAAACAAGTGCCAGGAGTTGTAACTGGGAAACAGAGTGGAAATAGCATTTACATACCTACTATATACTCTAAGAGTCAAAACGAGTGGGTTGAAAATTTTTACAAGCAAAATGGATATTTAGGTAAAATATGCGATTTACAGGAATTTCCAAGATATTTTTGTGCCTCACATGATTCAATCTATTCTTATCTTATAGAATATGACGCCCTTACGAGACTCGGAATATCAGACCCATCAGGTTTCGTAAAACGTCATTTTCCAAATGAGAACATGGTCTTTCTAAAGTCAGTGGCTGTAGGAACAGTAATAACGGATCAAGTCGATGCCAATATCGAAGAAGTCGTTGCGACCGGATCCTTCATTGACTTATATCCCCTTTTACCATCTGTATTTAGCGACAAAGATGCCGAACTTGTCATCAAATTAGCTACGAAGAAAATAAGGGTCAATGTGCATATATTTGCAAAGACAGTTATTGTTTCTGAGGCATTTTTACAAACTTTAACTAAATCCCTTGAAACAGTAGCGGAACAAAAGACTCGCGACATGGTAGGTAGCGGAAGATGGATTCAATCTATCGCTGAGAATAAATTAAAATCCAAATCTGCGGATTTAATCCTTGAGAGCAAAGTGAATAAAAAGGAAGAACGAAGGAAAAAGGCAAGTATTGGTAAAGCAGGCGGCGGTAGTCAGGGTAGAGAAACCAAGACCAAGTCTACAAAGAAAAAATATCTTCAAGGTAAGATACAGGAAAATGATTCTGATCAAGACGAGACAAGGCAGACAGCGGTCGGAAGAGGTGAGATCACCGTGATAACCGTGGAAGAAGTGAAAACGGAAGTTATGAAAGATGAGAACGTAGCCGTTATCGAAGAAATGGCAGACGAATTAGCGTGCTATTTGCAACCAAAGTTGAACAAGTTTGCGTTAACATTGGCAGAACAATTGGCGCAATCCAACAAGACTACTAATTTAAGCGAGATTGGTAAATGTCTGAACATTCTAATAACGAACATTCGAATATTTGACAAGGGCATTAAACATTTGGACAAAGCGGATCAAGCTCCGCTGACCAAATACTTGCTTAAAACTCTAGGTATTGATTTTGTAACAAGTATATTCAAATTGGCTGCTCAACAAAATATGCTGCAAGTAGCGGAAAATCTCACGACAGAGACAAGGCAAAGACTGCTGCTTGAATTACCTGCGGACGTTAAAGAGCCATTATCCGTTATTCATAAAACCGTAATGGGAGATTCAGTGGAAGATTTTTTGAACAATGCTGACAGAGCGATGGCAGCTTGTTGTTTGGTTTTAAAAAAATACGATAAAAAAAAGGAGCGACCACAGATACATGCTCACAGAGAAGCTCTGTTGGAGGAACTGAATGCTACGCAAGATCCCGCATTGACATTGCATCTAGTTACAAGCGTGCTTTTCACCGCTGTTACTCAAAACGCCTTACATATGTCTGGCAGACATGTAACAACCGTTCTCGCCTTCCTTCAACAGCAACTGGAACCCAATACAATGTCGACTCTTTCCACATATCATGGTATGTAACAATTTATGATGAGATAATCCTCAAACGAAAGCTTCTTTTTGTGTGTGTTTGTGTGTGTGTGTGTGTGTAATAAAGTGTAAAATAATAACTTAAAATAGCACTTTTTTCTTTTCAGATTTAGTACTTAATTTGCTAAATGCTTCTAATGAAAACGCAAAAATAGAAGCCTTCAGGGCTTTGGAGGAAGGATTAGTGGATATCAAAAATATTGCAAACAATTTTAAGCAACATATAAAAATAGACAAGTCTTGAGAGGGATTATACAAACGGCTCTACAATACAAATGATGTAATATAGTCTAGAACCATATTATTTGTTATATGATACTGATTAACATTGTACTTTATAATAAAGCTGAAAGGATATGTTAACAATTAAAAAAAATCGGACTGACTTTATATACACATACATACAATAACTAGGATGCTTTCTGCCATATTCGATAAATGTATATTTACTTCTTATTATGAATCCTCCCAATTGGGTAATCTTCCATTTGAATATCTTCCATTTAGAGTACGTTCGGGAAGACACTATTTATCATTCTGTGTGTTTTCCATTTGATGACACAAGTTTACACAAGTATTGTTGTCCTTGTTACTCGTTAAATGTTGAGAAACGTAAAATGCATTAATTTGTATTAGCATGAATGGAAAGCATCCTCTATCTCCATCTAGCGTTTGTTAGACACGAAACAAGAATCAACCAACGAATAGCGCTAAAAGCATCTTCCTGAAAATATATTTTTACTGACACACAAGTTGACACAAACGTCAATCTATCTTTCTTGCTATTTCATGAATAATAAAGACAGAATAATTATTGTGTGTCACCAAATAGAAAGTATTCTTCATTTTTTTTGATATTATTTAATATTATAATCTTTTCCATTTTTACAGTCTGCTCACTATTAAACGCATCGATACAACTATAGATGTCCACAATGATGGACTTACCTATATATGTACATACATATAATTTAAAAGAAACACTTGACTGCTGCTCTTATGTACACGTAAATACATCACAGTGTTTGTAATAGCAGGTTACAAAGTCGCCAATATTCGTGTGAATCCGATGCACACCGGTACCACAGTCTGTCCAATACCCCAAAACAATGCATATAAAGGTGGCATTTGATAGCCAGACGCTCTATACACAAAGGCAACTGCCGCTGAACTGACGACACCCGATGTCAGTGGCAATAGTACACCCATTATTATGATAAGCAATGGGAAAAATCTATGGATATATGTAACATTGTGAATTAACTGTTTCGCAGATAGACTATAACTTACATACTTGCCGTATTTGTGCTGTCGCAAAGTAGCAAAACAAATTGCGCCAGCAATCGTATGTACAAATATCGAGGAAAACAGGGCCCAGAGAAATATTTGATACCACATCTCTGAAAAATAGACATTGAGATAGATTGAACCAAAAAGGAATTTAAGTAGGATGATTTTGATATCATATTACGGTGAGTCTTTTTGTTACAAATGGAATGATTAATTCTTCATTATTTGACAGACAGAAAGACAGACCGAGGAGCTATATATAATTATGAGCTATATATAATTAGAACGTTACATTTTTTGAGTCTATCAATTGAATTAATCGTACTAATTAAGGATGCTTTCCACTTGACGACACAAGTATTGTACTACCTTTGTACTGCCTTTGTATTGCTGTTTTCCGTTTAGGAGACACACAGTCGACGCAAACACCATTTGTCGATATATTCATTAAGTAACAGACAAAACAATGTTTGTGCCGATTTGTGTCACTAAATGTAAAGCATCTACAGTGAATCATTCCCTTACATTACTCTTCTTATTTGCCTTCTTATTTAATGTTAAATAAAAATGAAATTATTACTCTGTGTGTGTGTGTGCGTTACATTTTTTGTCTTTTGCTGGAAAGCATCAATAGAGGAATCTGGTCAAGTCGCTTATAAAATGTGAACAATCATAGACCATGCATGCGTACTCGAGAAATTGTTTACCTGCAAACGATATTAAAGGCATGTAGAATATACTGCCAGAATTCATGTTTCGCAACGTCATTTGCGGTCGCGGTAAATTGATATCTGTTTGCGTATCTATTTGGGCAATGAGAAAGAAAGTGATAAACTTGTACGATCCCTCCTCACGAATCCTTCGTTAATTATTTGCTTTTTTCTGCATCAGTTCTTTTGACAGTCGCCTTAGCGAAGAGGTTACATCGGAGCATCGTTAAGACATTACTCCAGAATTACCAACAGTTAGGATTACTTCAGTTGCGATAATAAGAGAAAAAGAATGGTGACGGCAATAATCACGAAAATAAACATTCATTTTCGAAATAAAATTCAAACGTCAATGGGGAAACTCCCATTACTGCCAATAAAGCTGGAAACCAGTCAGAGACAATGGCGTACGAGCTGGTACTGAATCTTTTCTTGGACAAACCGACCCAAACAAGAAAAATGAATTCAGTACCAACAGAGAGAAACCTAAGAGAGGACATGAAATTTGCTAAATTTGATAACCGCAAAATGCTGTCGCGAACTACTGCCCCCTGTCAAAGTCAATGTAAACTACATAGTAAAGTACTT